GCAAAATAAAATTTGCAAACAATATTTAAAAGAGTGAGATGATTACATGAGAACCACTCCATGGAAGGGTTGGCACTTCTGCAGCTTGAGCAATCAAAGATGAACCAATTTTATCTCCCAATGCTGACATGGATATACTTGGAGGCCCAAGAAATGCAATTCCCTTTGCAGTCAGTGCATCTGGAAGCTCAGGGTTCTCAGACGCATGACCCCATCCAGGCCAAACCGCATCAACATGAGTTATTTCCGCCATCTGGATATTCACATTTGCTATTTTATCAAAATATCTAGAGTTGCACAAAAGTCTGTATTTCTCTTTACTCTCTATAAGCATGAAACCAGGAAATAAAATGTAACAAACATTAACTAAAAAAGTCAATATAATAGCTTTTTGATGGAATGGAAATGCTTGCAATTTTCCCAAAAAAAAAAGGGAAAATATAATATAATAGACAGAAGAGTTAAGAATTTAGTTGTCCATTTTCCCCATACTCTAGGAGAGCTGCGTCAACATGGGACAGATTTTCTTTTACTAAGCTGTCAGCCTCCATGAGTTTTAATGTTTTCAACCCAGTTGTACCAAAAATTCAATACCTCCAGTAAGAACAAACAATAACAAAATGAGTGCAATCAAATTTCTTTCTATTTGAGAAATGTAATTCACCAACAAAGTTATAAAAGTAATTGTTAGAGGTGTTTGATAGACTCACCTCCACAATAAGTTGCACATTGGCATAGTTATTGTTGTTTGTCCCTCCTGGAACTTCTACAAACTGATCAGCAATTCTAATGTGCTCAGCATTGATTCTCATATCCTCAGGAGTAGCCATGGCCACCAATAAGATTGCCTTTTCTGTGCCAAATGTTTCATAAGCCCACGTCCGAACACTACGTATGAACTTAACAGCTGCCATTCCATTGTTTGCAATTAAAATACTATGGATTGGCCTTTTTCCTCCAAGGGCATGGCAGAACTCATCAACTTCAGACATGGAAGCAGGGCTCCTCATTTGGGATGCCCCATTAACATATCCATAGCTTCCACGTGTAACTTCAACCATTGTTGGCCTTCGTTGGACCTCTGTCATGCTACACAGAGGCAAGAAACCACATAATCAAAAACACTATTGATTGAAATTCAATATCGAAGAGGTTTTTTTTTTTCTCTCCTTTTTGTAAAAATTCTATGCAAGTTATGAGGAAAAATGAGCTGAACTTAGACTTCCAAAGATGATAAAATAAATACACAAATGGTTCAATCAAACGAGTCCAAACAAAAATAACCATAACAAGCTCAGTTTACCCTCAAAGAGGAACAAGGATCAATCCATCCTCGGCCATAAGAAAGGACGGACCCACCCAATTTGTATTAAGGTTCTGTTTGGTTGTACAGAATTGAGTGGGCAGAGTAAGTACAATTCCACAACATTCTGAATCATCCTTCTACAGTAGCTTATTTTACTGTACTTGGTACCAACATAATCAGACTTTGGTACTAAATCCATTGGTTAGTACGCAGGAGCTTCCAGATAAAGCTCCATGCAACCAAACACGGCCTAACAGAAAATCCTCAGGTGCAGGATTGCATAAACATCGATTTTCAAAGAAAAGGGGATTACTTTAAGAAGAGCAAACACTCACTAAAATTCCCAAAAACCCACCAAAAGCTCGAAACTTCAAATCCTAAACCCTCAATTGGGCCAATTACAACCGCCCTCTCAAAATACTAATGTAGAAAACATGATCCCAACTAGAATGATGCTTCTCAGCATCAAGAAAACCCAATACCCAATTCAGAAAAGGAAAGAAGTCAATCCAAAATGGCATACCTGAAAAGAAAAGCCGCAATCTTTGAAGCTTTGAACCAAAATTGGCTTCAATTCCCTTAGTGGGTTTCAAACATTTTTTTGTGAATCAAGAAGTAGAGAGAGAAGAGACTAAAATGTGCCTTACATTTGTTTGTGTTACAAGAGCCAATGTCAGAATCTTAGATTCTTAATAGCTAGTTATGTGTAAGCAATGGGGAGAGGTAGGTTTGGTTTGGGGTAGAGGAGAGTTGATTTTTATGAGTTTTAATTTAACGGCCTTTAAATGAACAGCTGCACCTGGTAACTGCACCCAGCTACCCCTTCTTCTCCATTGTCATTTTCCTCTCTCTGCTTTGATCCAAACAACACAATTTTGGACAGCCTTAGAGTTTGGTAAAAGACAAAATACTAAATACCCATGAACCAGGACAGAACTAATCAACTCAAATCACAGTTTTGATCGTCAAATGCTTACAAGAAAAAAGAAGTTGAGTTGGCGTGTCTTGACTTTGAGCTGGGATAGGTAGGTGTTGTCGACCTACCCTTCTCTCCCCCCTCTTGTTTAGCTCAGATACGTCACCCCATAATTTATTATGCATGATTTGTAACTTGGAGGAATAACTCTCCTGTTTTGTTTTCTTCTCCTAGGAAAAAGATTACGCAGACATACCATAACGTCGTTCATTGCTGGGAGCAATAACTCGAATTATTGTAACAACAACTAAAGAATTGGAAACATAATGAAAACATCAAGAATGCAATTCGACTTATAGCTCCTGTGGATAAAAAAAATAAAAAAATAAAAAACTCGAATTGCTACATAATTAGGGCTCCTAGGGATTTGATAATAAATCAAATCTTATACATAGTTGATTATAGTTAGGTAACAAGCGTAAGTTTAATCTCATATTGTAAATCAATAGAAAAAAAATAGTATAAAATATAAAACAATATTACAGAGAGTATAAAGAAATAGTTAGGTAACCTGAGGCTTGGATAAAACACTCTTTTTCGAAGCATCCGTGCCATTGGTGCAACATTTTTTATAGTTGTGCTACTCCAAGGATACAACAGTCTAAACTTGTGCGTTATGACTTTACATGCTTGGGACTGCTGTAAAGTTAACTCTACTCCACTCTTCATTGAGTCCAATGAAGAGGGAGTTTGAAAGAATAATGAATATGACAAGGTAATGAAAGAATGAAAGTGCTGAGAATTGTGTAATTTGTAAATGGAAATGGCTGCCGTTTTATTATCAGAGTTTCCAATGGTAACCGAATAAAACAAGGAATAATGCATAAATTAAGCTGTAACTCTATGCAAAAGGTAAAAAATCAATGCCAATAATGGAAAGAAATCGTAACAGGTTTTTACCATTTCTGCTATTACTAATTGCAGCCCTCTAGAACATGTTTTATTTTTTTTTTTTGTTGGGTACAGAGAATTTAGTTAAAGTTTTTAATTCTGACTTTGATCCTAGATTAAAAATTTTAAAGTTACTGGTTACTAATTTAAGTAAATTCTTACTAGTATTAATCAAAATGAAGATGGTAACAAAAGATTTGATTATATCTAATGACATTTAGGATTAATG